TCGACCTCTCCCACGTTTGGACGGTGCATACCTGGCTGAGACAACTATCTCGACGCATGGACTCGCTTTGATAGGAGCACGCGATAGCATTTCAATATTTTTATTCTTCCCTTTTTTTTTGTTTGCCTCTTTTCCCGGTCATTTTCTCTTCTCCTTTTTTTTTTTTTTTTCGTTTTTTAAATTTTTGTTTAGCGAAGCTACATGCGCGACGAAAACGTTTCCCGAGGAAATTTTAATTAACGTCCTCGCGACGGAAGTGGGTCAAACCGAGTTGAAACGTTGAAAGTGACTGAAAACGTTAAAAACGATCTTGTTGATCCCTGCCTCGAATTAAGGCCGAATCATTTATCTCTTGTCTTTCCTTTACCTTTCATCTCGAAGAGCGATTAGTCGGCGAAGGGTTGCCGAATGTATTAACTAACTTTTTGGAAATTTCGAAAGTTAAAATTCGATCGCTTTGCCTTGGCAGTTGAGATTTTGAAATTTTATCTGGTTCTCTTGGATAACTAAAATTTGGTAATTTCGTTTAAATAACTAAGTTTCTGCATTCGGTGAATGCAGAAAAATTCCCAGAAAGTCACAGGAAGTATTTTGTCATCTTCGTCGAAAATTTCTAGTGACAATACGTAATTCCGCCACGTAACATAACGTAAACCTAACTCAAACATTCTTCCTTTTAGATCTCTCCGTTCCTCCTAACCCAAATTTAATCAAAATTCAACCTAAACCCAGTTCAAACTTCAGCTAAACATGCATTTATTCATCCTAACCTAACCTGAACACCCTTCACAGATAATATTCTTATGCTTAATATTCTGTTCTTCTTGCAAAATTTTGGCAAATAACCTGAACATGAAGGATTTTGGCTATAATTATATCCACGATTTATCAACTTTCATTGTAGAAGAGTCTTTTATGAGATTTCGTGTTTTAACTTTTCTACGGTGGTTTCGTTCTCAGAAACAAATTTGTGTCAAATTGTTGTCAAACTTTTACGAATTTGTCCCTAGAATTTCTTCTGGTGGAGTTTTTACGAGTAGTTCCCCCCCCCCC